TGAGATGGTTAGATAGCATCACTGAAGCAATGAGCATGAAACTGAGCAAACTCAGGGAGGCAGTGAAGGACAGGAAGGCAATATGGCTCATGGGGTCACGAAGAGTCGGACACGACTTAACAACCGTACAACAACAACAAAATGTTTTTAGTCAGCGAACAGCAACATCTTCTCTTGCTTCTGTATGTTCCCTACATTCTATAAATTCCACAAAGGCAGAATTTCCTTCATTCCATCACACTGCCCCCATGCCACATGAATGTGTGGGAATAATACTGCCTCACCACCACCTCCCAGATCTCTGCTATCAAGAAAAATGACAGGAACACATATCCACAAGGCTGCTGAAAAATCATGCCAGCTTTTAAAAAAAAACCCTGAAAGGACCTCTATCTCCTGTGAATCCTTCCTCAACCCTTTGGTTTGTTAGAACCACCCATGGATTTTTTCCCCCAGATATTGGTATCTGGTAGAGTGGTAGAGTTAGTTCTTAATGCACAACCTGTTCCATATAACTGAAGAGGTTTTTTAATTTTAATAGTCTGTGCCTTCTTATATGACCAATTCTGCTTGGCTTTGAGGATTATAATTTTGTTAAATGCATCCTCTCTCACATTGCAGAGGACACAATAGCTCTCTCAGAGAATAAATGAGAGCTACATAAAAAGAGATACTTTGTTGCCATGCTGTTGCTTTTCAGGATGGCGGCCCCAATGCTATCGTTCAGAGATCAAGTGGGCACTTACACTGCATTACAAGGATAAAAAGTAAATCCCCTTTGCAATTAACACTTGTTTCTATAGATCTCACTGAAACACATTCAGCTGCACTTCACAAATACTACACCCATCTTGTGTAATGTTTTTGGTAACTATATCCTACTCGGATCAAAGTATGAATTGCTTAAATTTCCAAAGATATTATATACTTCCTTAAAAAATAAATAAAATGCAACTATTCCTTCTGTAACAGGAATGTCAACATTTCAAAGTTAGAAAGAATAAATAGCATGGAGGAAAGGAAGATGAAGAATTGCATTCCGCCTAAAAAGTCTATAAGAAAATAAAAGGAAATTAAATAAAATAGATTTTCCTCTTGCACCATCCAAACATCTTTCTCTTAGTTGTTCCAGGTAAGTCAAAAGCAGTGAAACTGACTAGAAATCTTCAGCTAAGGATAACATTTATTTTAAAAGTCTATATAAATAACTTCATACATGCTAAGCAATCTCTTTTACGTGATGCTTTACTATGAAGTTGAGGACAAGAATAGGGAAAGGAACATTAAAATGTCATGAGCAACAATCACAGAATACCAAGAGGTTGCATCATAACCATATACATGTTGCATTAATTACTTTCAGGGTGAATTACCATAATGCTCTATCTGGATGGGGCTGCCTCTAAAGAGAGTTTGGGAACTTGAACAGATATACATACAAGGAGGATATCCAAGTATTGGGAGTTGAATAGTTAGATCATGCATGCAGTGCACCTATTTTGCACAGGCTGAGCGTGCAGTTAGAGAATTCAAAAGGAAATGCACTGGTCTTAACTGTTCATGCTTTAAACCATACTGGAAACAGCATCCACCAGATGAACTGGCAGAGAACTTTCCTGCTACGACGGATTATGGTGGGAGCGGGATTCTGAAAAGAGGCTAAGGCTTTACTGGGGGGAAGGGGACCTTGCCTGAGGTCCTGGGTTCCAGATGGGTCCAACCACGTTCATAAGCCGAAGAGGCCCCACCACTACCTTAAATAGTTGAGGACCAATGCATTTGAATGGCCACCTTCCCTGAAACCAGACTGCATACAGTCCAAAGGCAGCTGCTGAACTCCTGCTCACAAACCCACCAGTGACTAGTCAGGGAGGTCAGTTGAAAAGAGTGCACTTTTTTTTTTGGCTGCAGCTGCACAACTGAGGAACTCACTCCTAATAGGTGTGCATCAGGCTCACCATTATAAGTCTTCAGAAGAGATGCTGTCAAGATGTACTGTTTTCTGTATTTTTTGTTAAACTTAGATCCGCTTTGTTTTACTTGTAATTGTTTTGTATTTTACAGAATAGTATGCAGATGTTTACTAAAGTTTTGTTGTTATCAAGTCTTAACACTTTCAGGATTTTTTCTTAAAGGAGGTAAAGAAACACTTCATATTAAATATGCACACACAGAGATACATACACGTATATAACTGTTGCAGTACTGAGCACATATCTTAGTGTGTGAATTTACTTATTTGTTCATTTGTTTATTTATTTATTTAGTGGACTTGTCCCTGCCCAT